CCTCAGCGCCCGCCGCTCGCGCTCGTACCGGGGACCTGGGCCGGCCCGCTGCACGGCGGGCGGCCCTCCCGGCGCCACCGCAGGGGCGCTGGGGCAGCGGCTAGAGGCGCGGGGGCGGTTTGAGCCACGCCGGCTGCCGTACGCTGGGAGGTGCTACCGCCCGCTTCTGCGGGGGGTGGCCGGACGGCTCCGGCCGCGCCATGCAGTCCCTGCTGCCGGTCGCCCTCCTCCTTCCCTTACTGCTCGTCCCCTTGGCGCTCCTGGCGAGGAGGCGCCGCGGCCGGCGGACACCTCCCCTCAGGCTCCTGGTGGTGGCCGGCTCCGGTGAGTAGGAGTTGCCGCCGGCGGGAGTGGGTCGCGCCGTAGAGCGCCCGCGGTGGGCTCCAGGAACTACGACTCCCGGCATGCAGCGCGGAGCGAGGGCCGACGAGGCTTTCGCCGGCGTGTCCTGGTGCATGCCGGGAGTTGCAGTCGCGGGAGCGCCGCGCTGCGGGGAGGCCCGCTCGCCGGAGGCCCTGCGTCTGGAGCTGCTGCCGGCGTGCCGGGTTTTTAGGTTTTGGGCTTTTAGCTCTTGATTTGAGTAACTGTTATGCTTCATCTTTATTGGGGGCATTTTCGTCCGTATTTATGTCTGACAGTTTGGCCTCTGAACCTTTCCTTCAGGCAGCACATGCGTTTCACCAGTCATTAAGGAATATATTGACTAAAACTGGTGCAGGACAGACCTGTGCAGCTGCTTGGTCTTCCGACAGAAAATTATCGATGGCGATTCAGGGCAAGGCTTTCCAAAGAGCGGTACACCCCTTACATCCGTGACATTTTGTAATAATCTTACCCAAACCGTGTTTCTGTGGTTTACTTACAAGAGTCTCGTGTGGGTTTGTCAGAGGCAGTACTGTTGTCCAAGCGTGTCACCCCACACTGAGGGCACACACACACGCCTGCTACTCCTTGTTACCTCCCCAAAGTTGCAGGGCAATTAATTTGCCCCCAAAAATTAGACTACCTCGAAAATTTGCAGCTAACAAATGCAGGCAAGCTTTGATTTTATCACCTCAGTATCCCTGTGGTTTTTGCCCCCGACTAGTTGAGTAATAATCCCGGGATCTTTCCGCAATCTTGAGTACGACTGGCAGTTTTATAATTTTTCAGGTCATGATTACTTCCACCAGGGCTGGAAACGTGCTTGTTTTCCTTTGGTCCTTTGGAATCTAGCTCGTACATATAAAAAAAATGCATTCACTATACATAAGCTTACCAGGTGAAATAATTCATAAGTCAGTTAAGATTCATATAAAGTTCAAGCCTATTCTTTGAGACTTTTTTGAAGTAGGAGTCTCCTGCTGTTCTGTGAATACTCAGATGATTGCATTAAAATTTGTGAAAGCTTCAACAAATCACCGCTCACAAGAAAATCCCTCCAAACATGTTTGAAAAGTACTGCATGCAATTCTATGGAAAGGTGGCAAACTCTCATGTCTAATGCAGCAGCATAGCTCTTGCTGCTTGTCCATTGTTTGGCAGCTTGACTTATATAGCAAAGGTCTCTTAAGAGGCTAGCGACACTGGGCAGCAGGAGGTAGTAGGAATACATTTAGTTTACTGTTTTGGTCTGCATCTTCCAGCAGAGTGAAAAGTAACACATCCGGTAAATGCTTATGCACATACTTACGGATGCAGTTTGTTCTTAAGCCGATCCAGCCCAACAGATAAAAGTTGAGCCGGTTCTACGTTACCTACACACACAATCCTCCCTCTGCCCTCTTCCACTGTTACAAGTATTCCTGTAGTTCTGGTTCAGAAAACTCAACTGGCAAGAAAAATAATTAACCCTGCTCCCAAAAAAACACAGTAAGTACACCCTCCCCTTCTCTCCAGTTTAGTGCCAATTTAGCTACCTGAACAAAGCGACCTTGCAGTTACAAGGTTGTCAACACCCATTCAAGGGCAGTGGTTAAAGCACTTGGCTGGAGCTGGGCTGTTTCTTCTGTCAGCACTCAGCTTTTACACTGACGTAGCTGCAGAGTGAAATTGCTGCCTGCTTGATTTCAGTATTATGAGCTGGGATGGTGCAGCCCTTGCTCCTGCAGGTCGTAGGACTAAACACCGGGTAGGGTAGGTGGGAGGTATGCTTCTGTGGCACAGCTCTGAGCTGCATCCTGTCCAGCTTCATTTTGACTATTGCACCATGGCATGGCTTTTGAGTATGAACTACAGTGTAACTCTGCCCAGTTGTTTTTGCATCGTGTACAGGACATTAAACACAAATGTCGTACTTCTATGTGATCCTGGTTCAATCCCATTTAACTGAAAAACTTCCATCAATATAACTTCAGTGGGAGCTGAATTGTCTTCATGTTACTTAAACAGTCTCAACCGTCCTTTAATTGAATCCTCTACTCTTGGAAGAATGTCACTGATAATAGTAGTACTGATAAGTTTTAAAAGGAAAAGTGTCTGATTCAACTGAAGAAATTGAAAGTTACAAAATTTTTCGTATACTAACTGCAGTTTATTTTGTTTTTACAGGTGGGCACACAACAGAAATCCTGAGGTTACTTAGCTGTTTGTCAGAGTCATACTCTCCTAGACATTATATTTTTGCAGACTCAGATAAGATGAGTGAAGCTAAAATACGTTCTTTTGAGCAAAAAAGGGCTGAAACATTCTCCAATTCCCAGGTAACTTATTAAATATGCTCTTGTAAGATAAAATGATCTTAACATTACATTCTAATTCAAGGCAATTTGGAAGTTGTTCTTTAAAAGGATGTTTTTAAGGTCAGCAGGTGCTTTTGATTTGGTAGGTATTACTAATCACTTGCACGGAAGTTCAGCTAAAGGTGCCATTCTGTACATACTGATTTTTACATCTCTAAAAGTGAACTAAATAAATGCTGTTGATTAATGCTGTACTAGAGAGACACTGAAAATACAAAGTAAATCTAGCTAAAAATAGCAAATGCCATTCTTGCTACCAGTTTTCACTACCACCGTCCCTACTTTCTCTTAAAATGGCCTTTACCTCCTGTTAACATGTTAATCCATTCAAAGCAATGAGGGAACATAATTGTAATGAAAGTGACTGCACAAAGGCGACTATCTCTTGCTCAAGAAAAGCATGCTGAAAATAACTTTCTTTTAATTTTGTAAACCAGCTAGCTATAAAAGTGTTATTTGTAGCTATAAAAATACTGGGGCAGAAACATGGTGGGGTTTTTTTCTTTCATTTTTAGTTTGGCATTTCTCTCAGCAACATAAAGTATTTTTTTGAAAGAAATTATATCTAAAAACTTTTTATCTAAGAAAACCTTAATTGAATTGGTATTATTTTTGTGTGTTTCTAGACTGTGTTTTGGTTGGATTTTAAAGTTGAGCACTAGTTATACATGTTTAAAAAGTATGGAATACCTCTTAATGTCCGACAGTTTTCTGGTTCATGACCTGAGCAAATGCTGAACTCCTAAAAATCATGAAAAAAATCATGAAACTATCTTGTCTATCTTTTTATCAAATGTTTGCTTGTTTTGAGCTAGTTTGCTGTATGATTAACAGAGAGCAGTATGACTCTCTGTTGACTTAAAATGTGATCTGATGTCCAGTGAAATTAGTAGAAAGATTATACTTTTGTTTAGAAATTGGAATAAGTACAATGGAAATGAATGTTCTGACTACAAAAATCGTAGCCCTTTAGAGCAAGCAGTACAACGCACAGTAAATTAATTAATTATGTGGTATTGATTTCATATGGTGCACTTCTGATATTTCCGTTGTCTTCAGTAGCACTACTGGGACAAAAGATTGTAGGACTTGGTACCAATGATTTTCAGAATAAACACTTTTAATGTAAAGCAACTGCTGCTAAGATGGGCAACAGGCTCACCTAGGAATGACATTTTTAAGTCTGTTTACCCCACTTTCACCTTGGAAGATGAAGGTTCCTTGCCTACCACAAGCTGCTGCATCAAGTGGGGATGACTTGGTTTAAAATTGAGAGTGGCAGTCTCTTCTCTCATTGTGCACCAAGGATGAAAGTTTAGTAAAGTGACTGGAGATATTTCCTGTTCAGAGGAATCTTGTTTGGTAATTAGTCATTCACACAGTCATGGTCACTTACCTGGAAAGTGTCCAAACCTAAATTATTAAATTTCTTAAAAATTCATATTTTGCGTATTAAAAGATTATGCAGTTTTCTACTAGTTCACTTAGTTTTGCTAAGCAGCTTCCCTTTCATACCCCCTCCAACTGCTAACAGATCATGTAGTTATTTTTTCCTTCAACACTGAAAGCCAGAGAAACATTTTTGGCTGCATGTGAGTTTGCTGTCTGGATAACAGATGCTCACTTTCCTTTGGCCATTCTTTTTCCACTGAGCAAAAATATTTGGAGTGAAAATGGAAGATAAATTTTGGGAAGTAAAGGTCACATGCCTATAACATATATTTGCTAACTTTCAGAGTATGCTTTCAAATAGTATGTTTTTTGGCACTGGGGATGCTGGAGATCATCAAGTGTTTAAAAATCATGTGTTAGTAGCTTCTTGCAGCTGTGAATAAATGAAAGGGAGAAGTCTGAATACTTCAACCCATGGTCATTCCCTTCCTCATCTTGTCAAGGAAGTAAATTTTTTCCAGAACTAAGGACTGGACAGAAGACAGATTACAATAATGACTTAAGAGAAAATCAGTGTACACGTTTAACAAATTCCGATGTAAAAAAAAACCCAAATAAAACCAATTTCTCTTTTTGATCTGTGGTCTAGTCCAGTTCTAAAAGCTACAGTATTCCGGGAGAAGGAAAGGAAGTCTGAATGAGCATCTTGCTTACAAGAAGCAAAATGCTGCACCTCTACCCAATAAGTCTCCTGAAAAAAAGAATCTGAAATGCCTCCTGTAAAAAGTCTCTGGTCCTGCTATCACTTGCCTCTTTGTTCTCTGTTGCCCCCAGCCTGTAACCACAACTATTCTACATGGATGCCCCTAGAGCGGTTACTCAGGGAACCTTCTAGGCTCAGCATAGAGAACCTGCTTCAGCTCCTGCCAACCTACTCTAGCAGCAGAAAGACAACTTACATTTGTTGACTGAAGAACATGCATTCTTCACTGGATCTTATACCCCGATTTGTCATGTCCAAGATGAGCAACCGTATTAACTAACCTTTACATAATGCTCATCTGACCACATGTTCTTTTCCATTTTATGTTTCATGAGAGATATCTTGCTAAGAAATCTTGTTCCTCAGCATGAAAAAGAGCTGCATAAACCCAGTTCCTTTGCAAGCATTGCAGTATATTCAGTTGAGGATATTATAATAATTCACAGCTGTGGCAGCTTTCTACCAACTGTTCCTTGCATGCTTGCAAAACAACAATATTAGACAGGTAAAGGACTACGTCACTGGTTTTGAAATTGCAGTATGCAGTCAACCATTTTAGACTTGCCAATTTGGAACATTTGTCTTCCAATAACAAAAAGGTTTCCGAGTCCACTAAAGATGTGAGGAAAAATAAATGCAACAATATGACACCATAGAAGATAGGGGAGCAATTTGCCTGTTTCTAGTATTAGCCATACTATGCAGCTTTCCAGCAAAAGATGCAGGAGGTAGCTTTGTCTGGAATACTAACAGTACTCAATCAGATGAGAGGCTGGGATTGCAGAAGCGTCTGGCAGTGGCTTTTAAACATACAACCACAAAAAAATCCACTTTTGTTTCTTAGAGTAATATTAAAGAGTTGATTGATATGTGGGCTGAAATCCTAACATATGACATAGGCACTGATGTGCAAAGTTTCAAGCATGTTTTTTGAAGAGTATAGATAAAATCAGTTTGATCTTTACTTGAATTCTACAAGTAGATTTCTACTTCAATACTGTTTGCAGTCCCTGCCAAATTTTGCTGAAATTGGGGGTTTTTTTGTGGTGAAGGAAATCACATACAGTTTTTTGGCAAATACTGTTTAACACCATTCTTACGGTGAAGAGAACACCTAAATAGTTCCACTGAAACCTAATCTGCCTAAAACTACCTTATCATACACATATTTCTTGCAGGACTGAATACTATGCAAGGGTCTAAACTCCACTTACAGCATTTCTTTTTATTACCTGAACCAAAGCTTTAAGAAACAGGCAGTGATAACCAGAATCCTGTTGCATGGGGACCAGGGTGCATGTTTGTTTTTCCATATTCTGTTGTCAGACTAATGCAATCAGAGTTTCAACACTTGCAGATAAACATAAAACAACCAGTTTGTAACATCTGTTAATGCCTTCCAGTATTACAGCAATTAAAGAACCTTATCACAATGAAACAGGATAATTTCAGTCAAGAAAATTAACTTAATATTCTGCATTTATAAGTGTTGGGTTTTTTTTTAATTCTTTCTACCTTATATATTAAAACAGCCCCAGTTATTGCTATTCAAGACTGATTTGTAGTTTGTATTTACTGTACAGCTATTGGCAACATCATCTTTCCTAGGCAAGGAAGCTATGACAATTAGTGATCGTGTATTTGAAGTAACTGGGCAATTTTCAGTATTTATAATGATATTTGGAGTCTCTCACTCCCAGTATGAGTTCTTCCAGAGTGGTGGTGATCTGGTGTCCCATATGAAGCAAGATTTTGACCATTGTCCAGATCTAAACAACATGTCAGTGTCAATGAACAGTGCACTGCAGCCATTATATTTGTCTTTCATTTAAACAGTCAAAAATTTCATTGGCATCAGGACTGCCTTCTGATGTAGCAATAGCTCTCAGATGTTGTTCCCCTGCATCAAGGTAAAAGCCATCTGTGAAGAGTGCAGGAAGCCTAACTACTGTTAACTGCTTAACAGCATTCCAAGACAAAAAGAAAACATCAGTGCTTTATTAATTTGATGCCTTTTACACACAGTGAATAATCTCTACTTTTTCCTAGGGAAAAAACAAAGACATTATTTCTTAAATTTTAATGATAAGATGTTTTTTCCTATTTATGCAAATATTTTACGTTTTGAATATGTATCTTGCATATCTTTTGAATATTCATTGAGTACTCATTTAAAGGGTAGCGATATTTGCTGTTACATTTTTAATAGTATGCATACCGGACATTAACTGAGAAAAGTTGTTACACTTTCTGCACTGTAAATCCACGAAGAATTTAAACAGGCAAGAGACAGAAGAGAGCCACCGTGTTTGGGTTGTATCTAATCAGACCTAGACTTGTGTCTCACTGACCACGAGGTGGGGCACTACGTTAACATACTGCGGGTGAAACTGCTCTAGCTGAATTGTTCATTGTTAGGAATGTTTTAAAGTAATGTGAGAAGAAATTAAAAAATAGATATATAGTTCTAGTATTTCGGTTTACTTTATTGCCAGGAATACTAAGCACGACACTGAATAAGGCGTTTAAGAAAAGGTTTCATACTCAAACATTTCCAAACTAGATTAAACCAAAAAAAAAAAGTTGGCACAAGACAGATCTAATAACTCTATAGAAGGAGCAACAACATTCTTAGAAAAAAAACAATTCAGCTTATCGTGCTCTCTTCCAGTTCACCCTTGATCGAATTCCCAGAAGCCGTGAGGTTAGACAATCTTGGACCTCCTCTGTGGTAACAACCCTGTACTCCCTACTTTACTCCCTTCCTTTGACCTACAGACTGAAACCAGATTTGGTAGGTAAAGTAAATTTTAACTTATTGATAATTTGCTAACCTGCATCATAGAAGCATTTGGAATATCAAGACATTGCAGACTGTATCTCATATGTATGCTTAGATTTACAGTTCACAGGAAAGTGTTTTTGAATGTAAAATTGAAGCTGAAAGACATATAGCAGCAATACACCAAGAAAGAGAGAACGGGGTTGCACTACTGGTGAATTAGAGGAGCAAATACCAGTTTCCCTTCTCAAAGTCTGCAAGTAACAGCAGAGAGAGTGTCACTGCCTTGTTAATGCTGCTAGAGCTAGCACAAACAAGGTTGCAGATTCTTGATAATATCTCTTCAGGATTGCAACAGCACAAACTGCCTGAAAGGCTGGTTATCCTGTTGGCTGGTCTTGCTCCTGAAATGGTATGACCAGTCTGGAACAGGCAGGTTCAGACCAGCAGAAATATATACAGATTCAGTTCTTGTGCTTACATGGACTTTTCAGCTACATGCATATTGATTTAGTCTTTGGCTGACTGACATTAATTATCTCATCTAATGACAAAAACCATCACTGCTGAAGCGGCAACTCCTCATCACTTACAGTAACTTTTTCAAGCTGTTCACAAAACTACACTCTCATGCTAACTACAACAGTTATTTAAAAATATTCCACACACTTAATCAAGTCAGAAGCATTCAGGGTTGTCAGATTATAGAATTAAAATAGAGATATCCAATCAATAAAGTTTTGTGCTGTTGCAAGACTCAAAAGATAGTGCACTGGACTCCCAGGTTTAAGTCCTACAATTCTTTAAGAGAAATTTTGGTTAAAACTGCCTTTTTGCTAGAGTTGTTGCCATCTTAAGGAGTCAGTTATCCAAACATGAGTGTTTTTTTAAAAAAGCATTATTTTAGCAGAATTTCAAATTAATATTTTATAGGGTCTTGAATATTTTAATGAAACCTGTAAAAATTTGTGCATTTACAAGATTTTTTCATAATTTAGTAACTGCATATATATACCCACAAAGCATGTTTGTAAGCAGGCTTTTTTTAGCTTTCACTGTGAACTGTATGTATGGCTAATTCTGAAGAGGCTCACCTATATTTGTGATATTTTGAATGTTTAGAGAAGCTGCTGTGAGTAATTTGACCTCATTGGCTTCAATAGCACTGGTCAGTTCCTATCAGATCAAAAGCTACTTGCTTGCTGGAATTTTCAGAACAGTTTAGTGTGCAGAACAGAAGTAGCTTTTTGCAGTTCTTGTTTTTCAAGCCTATTCTGAAAACTGGAGATAAAGTTGGGAGGGAGGAGGAGATGGCATACTATTCTTTTTACAGTGATTTTAATTTGGGTGGGGAAATAGTAGAGGGATGTTTACATGAAGCAGACATCTTAGAGCAAATGTGAGTAACAAATACTTAGGAATCACTTTGCTACAAAACTGGTTTCAGTTAATGTGTATAGTTTTTTTAACTTATTATTGCAAAAGAAATTGACTGGAAAATGTCACTGTGTAGCTTAATGTATTACCAAAAGTGTCAACAGGACATATCATAGGAGAAGAGCAGGAAGTTACTAATCTAATTCCATGGTTTCACTGTTTACAAGAGGAATTTAAAGTAACAGTGGAATTTACGCATAGAATTATTAGAAATGGTGTTGGACTTGATAAACTGTGATAAGCTGTCAAAAGGCAAATGATTCTGAAAAACACTTGTCCTTGTAAAATTAAGGATACATCTTAGCAAGGCCTTTAAGCCTTTTGTAGTGTTAAAGGGAACCACTGACTCAAAATGCTGTCCAAAGAGTCCTTATCCATGATTAGAGAAGGGCTGGAGGGGAGGGAGTTCCCAAATATTTTTTTGCCAGGTACCATCATCAACCACAATAGCAACTGGTACTGCCACTGGAAGAAGCATTATGCCAAATCTTATACCACTTGAAAGCTGCTTGCATACTACTACTTGTATGCATATCTTAGTTTAAGAATTCTGTAAAATGTAGTAAGTCAGAGAGCTGTAAAGATTTTAAAACACTTATCAAAGGAGATTGATTCAGGGATTAAAATGCTTTACATTGCCAGTGAAAAGACTCTGTGTGGTATGTGAAACAACTGGTAATATTTAATTGCCTTTAGAAGAAAATGCTCGTGGTGAATTGCAACTCCCCCTACTCTTGGCAAAATGTAATGCTTAGTAGTTTAAAGAACTAGAAAGGGTGGGACAAATGCTGGCGTTTACAGGACTCATCTATAACTTTTGGCAGGAAAATCAACACCCGAGTTTAGAAACAAGCACAGTATTACATCATGCTGAGAGCTTCATATTTTTAAACAGTAGGGCTTGTGGGTACTGTACATTTTCAGTCTAGGCAACTGTTTTTATTTAACTGCAGGAGGGAAAGACAACTTTGAATTGCTTTAAGTCATTTGTACGTATGAGTGATCCCCAAATCCTTACACTCGCTTTTAGGCTTGTCAGAAATGTGTGCATGTTTGAAGGAATGACTGAAGTCTTTTCCAGACACCCAAAAGCTAGAGAAAAGCAGAAATGTTGCAGTTTTCAGGGAACACAGAACAAGAGAGGTACTGCAAAGGGAGCCTGAAACCATTAGGTGCATAAAGGCAAGATTTGGAGCAGATAGGCTTAGGTTGGCATAACTAGCATATCTGCAGAGTCAAAATAGCTGTAAAGGGGAAACAGCAAACCTAGCTGCACAGGACTTACTTTATATGTGCTTATTTACATGAGCACTGTGTCCCCTTTGTATCTCACGCTGATCTTCTGGCAAAGCTTCTTAGTTTACTTTGCATGAGGAAGCAGTTCCATCTAACCCTTCTTCAAGATAGTGAGTTCAGAAAGAACTGAACAACTTCTAGGAGACCTTTGTTGTGTTGCAGGACTTGACCCACACTGGAAATGGGCCCCCAGAGAGTTTAAGAAATGAAAAAGTTAGCTTAGTTGTTTAGTTTGAGATCATCTTCAAGAGGCCCATTTCTGACTTACGAACATCTGCCCTCTGCAAAGTTAAGTCCCTTTAGAGATATTAAACCAAGTAACAAAATTAAGATGTCAGAAGTGATGATCTGCTTGTGTTCCTATAGCCAAGAATTATAGAAATATAGGTGTCAGTGATCTGCGGGTACATGTACGCTGGGCAGTTTTTACAACGTCAACCTTAGATAGGCTTCCTGTGCAGAGGCCTAAAATTCCAGGAAAGCAAGGTTTGCGCCAGCAAACTCTGCCTACACCTTACTTCCCCCAGAAAAGCTTTTAAAACCATTCATCAGTTGCAGCCAGACTTAATATGTAGTCACAGCCTCAAAGACTGCAAATTCTTACCATGAAAACAGGCAGCTGGTCAAAGAACAGAAGCTTTTATTGCCTTTATTAAGAGAAAGGCTGAGAAGAAACATAAAACCAGAATAAGATGTTAGAAGATCTACTGTCTAGGGAAAGATGCAAATCCTTCTTAGTCACAGAAAATTAGACAAGCTGCACATAGATTTTTTTTCCCCAAAGATAGAGAAAATTACTGAATCTTACATAGATTATTTGATGTCCAAGAAGGAATAAACTAACATTATGGCCTTCCTATAATATGCTTTCAGTCAGTCAGTCAGTAGGTACAAGTTCAGAGAAAACCAGTCTTCAGTTCTCTTGCTGCTTACAGAACTATTGTCCTTGTTTCTGGGCTGATTTGCCAGCCCTGAAACCAGGTCTTCGGGTGTTCTAGCCCTTTGACTGGGTCATGATTATTCCAGTCATTCTGGCATACCTGAAATTCAAACTGAAAAGAAAGGATATGTGTGCACCATGCAGCAGAAAGCTGTACAGAGATTGCACCCAGTCCCTGTTTTCAGCCACAGATGGGCTATGTAATTAGGTCAGTGATTTGCTCTCCTTTAATGTAATTAAATTTCACCTAGAATTGTGCAGAAATGCTGCATAAATCTCCATTCATTATAGATTGCACATCATGGACCCTTAGGACCAGACTTTTTCTGCTTTTCTGGGGACGCTTGTCAGCAGTTCCTACTGCCTCAGTGCTCTACAGAGCCTGAAACAAGAAGATATTTTCAGATCACTGCTATTTGGAAAAACCTGGGTTAAATCAGGCAAAGGCGGCAGTCCTTCCACAGTAGGGCCTCCTTCCCATGGGAAGTCTGTAGTAACAAGTTTACATTTGCACAGCCAGTACAACAAGCTCTGCCGTCTCCCTCCCCAGTAGCTGTCAGTTGAAGGAGTCTCTCTTTTTTAAACTTCTTTCTAGAAGCCTGAAACCAGCACACCTGATTATGCTTCTAGTAGTCTACCAATTCTTTTATGGCTGCATATCCCATCACACATGCGTCGTCCCCCGACTGGTTAAATTCACTGCAGCAAGCTTCTAGAGTTGTTACAGAAGTGTTCACACAGTAAGCTATATGAAAGGACATGATTATTTCATTTAGCTAAGATTTTCCATTCTTTGTGCCCTGCCCAAAATGTCTTAAGTTCATAGCACTTTAACAAATTACTGTGACGAATAGTAAGTTATTGTCCCTTATATCACGGTCCTTATTAGAACTTTGTGGAAAGCTACAAAATCTGGGTGGTGGCATTTTTTCTCTATTCACTTCGTAACAAGTGCACTTTGTATAATGCAGTATTAAGGCTATCTGGTGCATTCTTTTGTACACTGAATCTTTCCCCCCTATTTATAATTCTTTTGGACGGATTGACAGTATGTCTGATCTACTATTGTTCTTCTAGGATCAAAACAGTCAAAATAAGGAAGAGTAAGAACATCAGATTAAGACCTTCAGTAGCACAAATCATGTAGTCTAAAAAGGAAACAAAGTTAAGTTAAACACAAATTTTGATGTCTTATGAACCTTATTCACCCCTCCTCTACCTTGTGTGCTGTGTACAGTTACCCTGCAGCCACAATGTAGAATTGCCCTCTGCTGAGCACAGATGAACATCTAAAGCTATTCAAATCAGTTAGTTTAGTTAGGTTGTAGCTCTGCTCTTT